CTTTATCTTATTTATAAATAACATTCAATGTAGTGTTTGTTTTGTGGTTGGTTTTTTCTTCTATAAAATGTATCTGCAGTGGTTTTGGTAAAGAAATGTTTCTGTAGTAAGTTTGCATCTTTTTTGCCTGTGTACTTAGTGTTGTTTTCACAAGACCAACCATTGCTATGAGAAACCCAGTAAGGTGACAAGGCACCATTAATTAGGCCCCCTTTATTAAGAGAGTGGGTAGTAGAGACGCTGCACCTTACAGCAGTCTTTCAGTCGTGAGCCAGCTGACTGACACCCTGTTTTTGCAGATACTTCCCTATCATTCCTGTTTTCTGTATCTGCAAGCATTCCCCTAAGCCTCGGAGCTGCTGTTCTTATGTTTTCAAACAATGTCTGGAAAGCCTCAAGGTAAGAGCTCTGCTGCAGCTATATACGTGAAGTAACGAGGGACTTGATACTGTGACTGGTAGGTGGTTAGATATGACAATAAGAAGCCGCATGCCTACGGTCCATCAGAGGAACAGCACAGCACCAGCTGTGATGGGGTATGCCAGGAAATATCTAATTGTTTTTTAGGGCATTTGTTATGTCCCTGGTGAGCGGCGCTGTGGGTGCTGGTGGGAGGGAGCTAGAAGCAGTTGTGGGCTGGTGTTGCCAAAGGGTAGCAGGTATCGGACTGGCTCAGTACATAGTTCCCCTGTGAGCACAGCTCAGTTGTCCTCTTGGCTTTGAAGTACTTTATTTCTCTCTTAGGACTAGGACAGTGGTAAGACTTCTGAAGTCCTGAAGAAATTTGCTGTTTTGAGGTTGTCATGAATCATAAACATCTTGAACATGAAGGTGTTTCATCACCATTTCCAAAAAACTTACTTCAGCTTCAGGCCTATCCTATAAATCCAGTTGACAATGTATATGAACATGTAGGGGCCAACAGTCAAGCTTTTCAAGGTATGTATATGTTCACTGGTTAGCAGATATTAGAAATTTCCATCCCACTGTTACCTCCATAAAACTTGAAGGCTCCTGCTTATGTTAGTTGATAATATCCACTATTTCATAATATCCATTAAATACTCTATGTAAAACAATAAATCTTTCATTTTAGAAAGTCTAGTGGTATTCTATTTCAGCTCTGAATGAAAGAAGACTGAGAATTACAGTCCAGAAAACTATTTGGTTTTTTCCCTCACTGTTATTTCCCTCTGCAATACAGTTTTCCCATGAGTCCTGAAGTATGACTGTCAGCTAATCCATGGGAAATTTAGTGATGTCAGTGAGGACATCGTATTTCAAGTTAGAGGTCTGCTGCCAACACCAGTCTATAATACCAGTAGATTATTTTTTTCCCCCAGATCAGAAGGTTAATCTTTGTGTCATATTAAAGTTCTTGCAAAGAAAATCATAAACAATACCCGTTTAAATTAGACTTGGCACTTGTGTTTACCAGCAACTTCACAAACACTTATTGATTGTAACAATATCTCTAGGTGTTACCAGCCTCAATTTCCTGGCAGAGCAGTTCAGTAGAGAGGCTAAAAGTGACCTAACTAAAGGGTGAGATAAGAATCAATGGTAAATCAGGATTCAAATTTAGGAATGCTGGATTCAGAGATAGTTTCTTTTGCATCATGTTGCCATGTCAGAAGCAACGGTGTCATGTAACATAATGTAGAGGGTCAAAATGATAAATGTACAGGTGCCAAAGATGCCATATAGGAAAAGACAAAGACCGAACAGGGTACACTGAGACTGTGTCCCATCCTGTCCTCCTCCTGGAAGCTGCTGCATCTTGGCAGCATCCCCCAGCCTCCGATTTCCATTAGCTTCCAAAGTCAGTGGGAACTGGTAACTGCTGGCTTGCACAGAAGGAAGAGATTGCTAATCAGCCAGGTGGTGTCGTGATGACTTTGTTGCTGAGTTCCTACAATCCTACTTAGTTGCTAATTTGGAAAAGTAAAATGTAGCCTTGGGTATCATTTGTGAAGGGCTGCTGCCCCCTAGGTCGACAGGATTGCATCTCAAAAGGAGTCTGGTGGTGGTGCCTGTAGGGCTGCTGGTCGCATGGAGCTAGCTTAGCCTTCTTATTTCCAGCAGCTAAATCATATTAAGAAGCAATTAATGTTCATTAAATGCTTTCCTAATGCTGCCTTCTCATCTAAGCAATGGCTGTCACAGGGATATTAGTTATTGCAGATAGGAGGAGATGACTGGTACAATTAGGAAGAGAAAGGTATTAAAGATATTCAGTGAAACTGGAGTCCCATGTTGTGGCAAAGCATGAGAGTCCCCAGAGTGAGGTGTTGGTGCAAGACTACTGTTTGGGTATTTTTAGTGTAGTCATCAATGTGAGTGCTTTTAGCAAAAAAAAAAAAAACCACCAAACTAAAACCCACAAAACCAAAACCCATGTGTTTCAAACTGGGAGAAAGTAATAGGTTCACTGAATTTCACAACTTTTTCATTTATTTCTGCCCACAGTTCCAGGCAACATCATTAAATAATGATTAACAACAAGAACTGAGGTGCTATCTGCCAAACTCCAGGACATCAAATTGTCCAGACACTTCACAAAAGAAAAATGGCAAAAAACAATGCATTCCTGTACCCCACTAAAAAAAAGTCAAATCCAAACCCAGCAATCACCTTGTGTGGCTGTTGCTGCTATGCTTTTTCAGTCTTGCCTCAATGTTTTTCATGGGGTGGTTTTTTTTTTTCAGGATGTGATTTTGTGTCCTATAATGTAACAAGTTTGGCTTTATTAAAATAATAACCTAATAACTAAATTCAGCTAGCAAACAGTCCGAGGTCTACGTAAAACTAGCTGAAGTATTAGGTGTTTAAAAGCAGTTATGTGTTGCCCAGTTTTGAGACGTTCATCAAGTGTGCTAGTGACAACTCATCCTGTAAGGCACTGTTCACTCTCCAGAGAAGGTCAAGGTGTAAAAAGTCAGGGCACATGGAGAAGTCTTCAAGATGCTAAGTGTATTGTAAGATGTCACACTTATGGTAGGACTTGCCTCCTGTGCACAAAATTAGTGATTTTTCACTGTTGTAAACTGGCTATGATTTTTATGTGTCGGAGTAATGTGTTGTGTGTGCTTCACCAGATTCCTCTATTTAGTTTAACCGAGTAACCAGCTTCTCCTCTTTAGCAATCGTGATCCTGCCCCATGGCAGATAAACATTCATTGCCAAAAATGCATCTTGTAGCATAAGCAAACTTGAGGCCAGTAATTACTGAAAATCAGTGCTGTACTGCCAGCCACTGTGCAAGGCTTCATCCAATTAAGGGCACTGCGGGCATTGAAATGCCCATGATTGTAGTGCAGTCCAGTGTGTATGCTCTTCCTAAGGAAGCTGATGGGGGGGAAGAGGATCTGAATTCTAATTAGATACAAAGGAGGACTTTAATGCAGAAACCCTGAAGACTTGCAAGTTGCTAACCTGAAGGGAGAGATTTTTTTTTAAATTCGTTCTCTCTCCTTCCTGAATGCTCTCAGCATGACTTCTTAACATGAGATCATAAGAAAGGCCATATTGGGTCAGACTAGAACAGCCTGTTCTTCAGGCAGTGCCCAGTAGCGGACTCCTAGGGAAGAACTGTGCAGTGATCCGTCCCTAGGATCCTTTCTCGGCTTCCAGCAATCAACGGCTCGGGGACTTTCTGAACCAGAGCTATCTGTGTGTTTAGTCGCCTCTCATGGATTTTTCTTCCATAATAGTGTCTAATTGCTTTTTGAAACCATGTAAACTTTTGGCATCAGCAGCAGCTTGTGTCAATGATTTCCATCCAAGCTGAAACCCTTCCCATTACAATTAGCCCAGGAACAATTTGCTAAGGAAAACCTCTGTTGTTATTTGGAAACTCTGATCTCCTATGCTAAAGGACATGAAGCGGTAAGTATTCTTTTGCAAAGAACTTTACTACACAT